GTCCCCCCTTTGCCTGAGACCACTGCACAGTTTCCCACCACTGCCGGCCCAGAGCAGCCTGGCCACGGCAGGAGCAGGTGTCTCAGGATCTTCAGAGGCCTAGATCAGCAAACGGTGGCTTTTGCCCACGCAGAAACTCTCAGATATTCCTCACAAACTCTCAGTATTTAGAGTCTCAGTGTCCCCTCCCCAGGGTTGCTTCCCCACATGTTCTTATCGATAAGCACTCAGGGGTCCCTCAGCAGCCAAGCTGCTAAGTGCTTATCAAGGTCAACTGATGAGATGACATCACAACATACTTTATTCTTATATCAAAACAACTTTACTTCTAAAAACAACTTTTTTGGGTCTTTTGTCATAAAGAAGTGGATTAAGTCAACTTAAGTCACAAACAAGTGGATTCGAAACCATACCAAAACAATACACATGAAAATGACTATACTACCCAAAGCAATCTACAGATTCAAAACAATCCCTATCAAATTACTAATGGCATTTTTCACAGAACTAGAACCAAAAATTTTCAATTGTATGGAAACACAAAAGACCCTGAATAGCCCAAGCAATTTGGGAAAGAAAAATGGAGCTGGAGGAATCAAACTCCTTGACTTCGGACTATACTACAAAGCTACAGTAATCAAGACGGCATGGTACTGGTACAAAAACAGAAATATAGATCAATGGAACAGGATAGAAAGCCCAGAGATAAACCCACGCACATATGGTCACCTTATCTTTGACAAAGGAGGCAAGAATATACAATGGAGGAAAGTCAGCCTCTTCAATAAGTGGTGCTGGGAAAACTGGACAGATATACATAAAAGAATGAAATTAGAACACTCCCTAACACCATACACAAAAATAAACTCAAAATGGATTAGAGACCTAAATGTAAGGCCAGACACTATCAAACTCTTAGTGGAAAACATAGGCAGAACACTCTATGACATACATCACAGCAAGATCCTTTTTTACCAACCTCCCAAAGTAATGGAAATAAAAATGAAAATAAACAAATGGGACCTAATGAAACTTAAAAGCTTTTGCACAGCAAAGGAAACCATAAACAAGACGAAAAGACAACCCTCAGAATGGGAGAAAACATTTGCAAATGAAGCAACTGACAAAGGATAAATCTCCAAATTAATCTCCAAAATATACAAGCAGTTCATGCAGCTCAATATCAAAGAAACAAACAACCCAATCCAAAAATGGGCAGAAGACCTAATAGACATTTCTCCAAAGAAGACATACAGATTGCCAACAAACACATGAAAACATGCTCAACATCTCTAATCATTAGATCAAATCAAAACCACAATGAGATATCACCTCACACCAGTCAGAATGGCCATCATCAAACCTCTACACACAATAAATGCTGGAGAGGGTGTGGAGAAAAGGGAACCCTCTTACACTGTTGGTGGGAATGTAAATTGATACAGCCACTAGGGAGAACAGTAAGGAGGTTCCTTAAAAAACTAAAAATAGAACTACCATATGACCCATCAATCCCACTACTGGGCATATACCCTGAGAAAACCATAATTCAAAAAGAGTCATGTAGCACAATGTTCATTGCAGCTCTATTTACAATAGCCAGGACATGGAAGCAATCTAAATGTCCATCGACAAAGGAATGGATAAAGAAGATATGGCACATATATACAATGGAATATTACTCAGCCATAAAAAGGAATGAAATTGAGTTATTTGTAGTGAGGTGGATAGACCTAGAGTTTGTCATACAGAGTGAAGTAAGTCAGAAAGAGAAAAACAAATACCATATGCTAAAGCATATATAGGAATCTAGAAAACAGTACTGATGAACCTAGTGGCAGGGCAGGAATAAAGACACAGATGTAGAGAATGGACTTAAGGACACCGGGGGGGGGGGCGGTGTGCTTCCCTGGTGGCACAGTGGTTGGGAGTCTGCCTGCCAATGCGGGGGACACGGGTTCGTGCCCCAGTCCAGGAGGATCCCACATGCCGTGGAGCGGCTGGGCCCGTGAGCCATAGCCGCTGAGCCTGTGCTCCGCGATGGGAGAGGCCACAGCAGTGAGAGGCCCGTGTACCAAAAAAAAAAAGGACACCAGGGGGGTGGAAGGGGAGGCTGGGATAAAGTGAGAGAGTGGCATTGACATACATACACTACCAAATGTAAAACAGCTAGTGGGAAGCTGCCGCATAGCACAGGGAGAGCAGCTCGGTGCTTTGTGACCACCTAGAGGGGTGGGATAGGGAGGGTGGGAGGGAGTCTCAAGAGGGAGGGGATATGGGGATATGTATATATGTATACATATCACTTTGTTGTACAGCAGAAACTAACACAACATTGTAAAGCAATTATACTCCAATAAAGGTGTAAGAAAAACAGAAGAACAATACACAACAGGGTCTTTCTGGCGGTCCAGTGGTTAGAACTCCGTGCTTCCACCATAGTGGGCATGGTTCAATCCCTGGTCAGGGAACTAAGATACCACATGCCACATGGCCAAAATGTAAAAATACAAAAACAAAAACAAACTCACAACAACAGTGTCTCTGTCCTGTAACTAGACTGAGTCCCCTTAGGTGAATTACAGTGTCTTATGTGTCCTGTTATCCCCAGCACTCTGGCAAGACGCCTAGAATATTTTGAGAAATGATAAGAAGGAAAGAAAGAAGGATCTCAGAGATAGTGAATGATATGGCCAAACAGCCAGCCTCCCCCGCCATGTCCACACACCGTCACCACCACCAGACACCAGTCCTGCTCCCACCTCCCCCCAGTGATTAATCCGTTTGGAGACTGAGGCCCTTCGCCCCAGACCCCCAGGCAGCAGCTCACACCAGTCAAAATGACAAGTGCGCTGCCACGTCCATCGGCAGATGCTGCTTCATCGTATCCACTTCAGAAGCAGGGAGGCACTCGCGGCTACCTCAGTGCTCCAGACCATCTGGTCAGGTGGCACAGCGCCCACTTACAAGGTCAGTTTCTTCCTGCCCAGAGCATTCCAGATTCTGCTGCAGAGTAAACTTCCTCTCTGAACCATCTTGGGGAATTCCTCAGACTCGTCCTCAGTCCCTCCAACATCCACTTCTTTTTTTTATATATATAAGTTTATTTATTTATTTATTGGCTGTGTTGGGTCTTTGTTGCTGCGGGCAGGCTTTCTCTAGTTGCAGCGAGCGGGGTCTACTCGTTGCAGTGCACAGGCTTCTCATTGCGGTGGCTTCTCTTGTTGTGGAGCACGAGCTCTAGGCACACGGGCTTCAGTAGTTGTGGCTTGCAGACTCTAGAGCACAGGCTCAGCAGTTGTGGCACATGGGCTTAGTTGCTCCATGGCATGTGGGATCTTCCCGGCGCAGGGCCCAAACCCATGTCCCCTGCACAGGCAGGCGGATTCTTAACCACTGCACCAACAGGGAAGTCCTCGTCATCCAGTTCTTATTTTAGTTCTTGGCTTGGTGGCAGGGACATTTCTCTGTGATCTTCTAACTGCCCCTGAGGACAATGGAATGGTCTGGGAGAACAAAGACAGCAGCACTCACTTCTGAGGCTCCTTTTCTGTGAGAAGCAGAGCACCAGTGAAGTGGCCAGCGTTCTGGGAGCTCAGGAATGTGCCCAGTTCGCTTTGTGGGCACTTTGATGCTAAATCCAACTTTTGCTTTAGAAGTGATAGTCATGAACTATGCCCCACATCTAAACAATGGCTCCCTTTGCATTCAAATGAGATCTTTACCCCAATAGCTGAAAAGGAGATGAGAGGAGAAGCCACGATATGCTTCCTGTTGGCACAATTTTGGGTTGGAGTTTGCCTGAAGATTCCTCTAAATATGTGGGGACTAAGGCCATCATGATGAAAAGCTGCTAACAGCACAGAAAGTGCTGAAGACAACCATGAACAGCCCTGTACAAATGATACACGTCCCGTGCCAAAATAAAAAGGAAAGCCGCATGCACACAGAGCTCCCGGGGGCCAAAATGCAGAAGGAAGCCGGCTTCACATGAAACTGGCACCAACACTCTTACACCTGGTCAGTGCTACTGTCGAATACTTAATTTTCCTACAGGTAATTCCGTCTGTGTGGACAACTGAAGGCAAAAAACCCAAAACCAATCAAACGGAGCACATTCCCAAGCAAATCTATCAGAAGACTGTCTGAACATACATCTCTATCTCTGCTTTCTTTTCCTATATATTTGGGGAGGAAAAGGGAAGAAGAGATGGAGGGGAATAGAAAGGCAGCAGAAAGGCTCCCTTCTCTTTGAGGTCTCCCTTAACCACTACAACCCACGGTGACCTTTCCTTCCCCTCATACATATAATAATTTGCATTTGACCATATCCCATACTGACGTGCATTATTAAATATGCACTCATGACCCAAGAACTCGTCTCCGCAATTATCTGCAAGGTCCTTGAGGACAAGGACCACTTTTACTCCTCCACACTACCTATCACAGGGATTGAACCTAGCAGATGCTCAAAAGATTTAATTGCTCGGGCAATGCCACCAGCAAATAACCCCAAATCACAAAAAAAGATTTTATTATACGGTATTATGAAATTTTAGGAATAAATCTATCTCTGTGTTAATGTTTTATGCCTTGTATTCAGCAATTCCTGAGCACAAGTTCGCTGAGCTGAGCTGGGTGTTGGGAGAGGGGCGCTGGGGAGTGGGGGGGTGAACGTTAAAATGTATCACCAGGCCAACTAAAATATGCCCAAATGAGATTAAAGTAATTGGACTACTGAGTTTGCTTAAACGGTACCCGGTGTTTGCAAACTTCATTTAATCCCTGGAGTGGGAAGTGAGTCTCGGAGGGTCCTTACCTGCAAGCCTGCTCGCAGGTCCCCATCTCTGGGAAGTGGGCGCACGCTTGGCTGGCTCGCGCTGTGCGGTCACGGAGGCTCCTCACCACCAGGGGGAGCCGGGCCGCGCCGGGCCGCGCCGGGCCGCGGGGCGCGCGGCGCTCTCCCGACATGCCTCGCTCCCGCCGACCCGGAAGTGGTCGCCGGTGCCGGGCCAGACGGCCGCTTAGACAGGAGAGGGGCTGCGGAGCGCAGGTGCCCGGCGGTTCCAGCCCGGCGAGGGACCCTGTGAGGCCGCGGAGGAGACGCCGCTAAGTTCATTGCAGGTGGGACTCAGCGGGGCGGGGCGCAGCGCGAGCCGTTCCCGGGCGCCCCGGTCCTCGGCGTCCGTGAGTGTTCTATGGGCCCACGGCCCTGCCCACCCTCTGAGGCCGCGGGCCGCCGCCCTGGCACCATGAAGGCCGAAGGGTTTTCCTCGAGGGCCACGCCCCGGCCGGAGGGGGCTGCGGAGAGGCCGAGCTGCTGAGCCACCCCTGTCGCCGGGCCCTGCCTGTAGGACGTCGGGGCCCGCCGCCCGGCTCTCGTGTCCGCGCCGCAGTAGGCGCCCTATCGCCGGCTCTGACATGGAGGAGGGGGCAGCTGGTCCGGGGAGCCCCCTCCCGCCCGCCATGAAGGCAGAGACCGCGACCGCGGCGCAGAAGCCCCCGGCCGGGCCCAGCCTCAGTCACCTGCTGAGTAGCCGGAAGCTGGTGGCCCTGGGGGCCGTGCTCGGCTGGCTTCTGGTCATCCACCTTCTGGTCAACGTGTGGCTCCTGTGCCTTCTGTCTGCGCTGCTGCTGGTGCTGGGAGGATGGCTGGGCGCCGACGCCATCGTGGGGCCTTCGGGTCGGCTGCACCTGGAGCGCTTCATCCCCATGGCTGTCTGCCCCCCAAACCCCGAGGCCGAGAGGCAGCTGGAGCAGGAGATCGACCGCACCATCCGGATGGTCATGCGGGACTTCGTGTCGTCCTGGTATCGCACGGTGAGCCAGGAGCCCGCCTTCGAGGAGGAAATGGAGGCAGCCATGCGAGGGTTGGTCCAGGAGCTCCGGAGGAGGATGGCCAGGGTGGACAGCCATGCTCTTGCCCAGAGGGTTCTCACTCTCTGTGGTTGTCACTTGCAGAGCTATCTTCAGGCAAAGGAGGCCACGACGGGGAAGCAGAGTGGCATAGATGAGCCCTCCCAGCTCTGGGAGGCTTACTGCCAGGCCACCGCCCCACATCCTGCAGTACAGAGTCCCAGGGCTGAGGTCGCCTACACACGTGGCATTGTGAACGTGTTGCTTCAAGGCCTAGTGCCAAAGCCCCACTTGGAGACCCGGACCGGCCGCCATGTAGTGGTGGAACTCATTACTTGCAATGTCATGTTACCACTGATCAGCAAGCTCTCAGATCCGGACTGGATCCACCTTGTGCTAGTGGGCATCTTTTCCAAGGCCAGAACTGGCCCAGAAGGAGTGGGTAAACCACTCTGCCCAGCCAGTGCCCTGGAACAGCCCTCAGTGCCCACATCTCTGCCACTGATTGTGGAGGTCCAGAGTCTAGCAGATGCGAGAGCCCCTTCTCCAGCCCCAGTGCTCCTAAACTATAGTGAGCCTTCACACCCCTCCCCAGAAGTCGAAGAAGGCCGTGAAGCACTGGAGGGAGATTTGGGGGGAGTGCTAGAAGAGAGAGAAGTAGGAAACAACTCTTCTCACTTCCTGCAGCCTCTGTTCTTGTCCGAAGATGCAGAGCTGGAGTCTCCGTTGTCTGAACTGGGCAAAGAAACCATCATGCTCGTGAACCCAGGCACCTTCCTCTCTGCCAGGATTCAGGACTCCCTGTGTGCCCTAGGGGGTTCCCAGGCTCTGGAGTCTAAGGATGAAGAGGGATCTGAAGGAATTGAAGGGGCAGAAGCTGAGGAGGGCCCAGGAACAGAAACAGAGACCGGCCTGCTTGTCTCCATGCTGAATTCCTGCCCAGAGATCCAGATTGACACAGTAGACAAGGACGAAGAGCAGGGAGATGTCACCTCTCTTACAACTTTGCTGGCCAGTCCAGAAAGGATGTGTCCCCCACGACCCTCATGCTTAGAGAAAGATCTCACCGATGGTGTGAGCTCCCTAGATCCTAGTCTCCCACAGGTACTGCTCTCCTCCTCTCCACCTGGTCCCTTCAGCTCAACCACCTTCAGCTTTGAGCCCCTGAGCAGTCCAGATGGCCCCGTTATCATCCAGAACCTTCGTATTACCGGCACCATTACTGCTCGAGAGCACAGTGGCACCGGATTCCACCCATACACGCTCTACACGGTGAAGGTAACAGGGTTAGAACTGTGGTCATCCACTCTGGTCTGGGATTGAGTCGGAAAGCAGAGTCAGTGTTTTGAGAGGGAGAGGCTACTCTTACTTAGTTTGCTATGGTTAATTCAGCCAGCATCTATATGTGAATGGTCTGAAGCTCATTTGTGAAGCAGAGTAGGCCTCTATCTGATACCCTCACAAACAATCCTAGAATCTTGGTATACTGAGAGTCATATTTTTCAGTGGTTCCCAATGGATACAGTCTTGTCCAGAGATTCTTTCCAAACTTCTTCCCTGCTAATTTCTTTCTTTTTTTAAGTACTGGTATCTTTCATACTTTTTGTTTTAGGAAGGAAGGTTATTTACCTATATATACATTGAAAGGTAGCAAGTTCTTCATTCCTAGAGATGTTTAAGAGCAGTAGTAGGAACTGCTTGGCAGAAATGATATGAAGGGGGTTCATGGATCAGGTGGCTGGTTTGATTAGAGCAGCAGCTCCCTAAAGCTGGTTTGGGGATAAGCTGCCTCCAAGTCAACTGGAGAGTTGTATTTTTAAAAAATACAAATCTTAGGGCCCATTCTTGGGAAATTCTCATTCAGAATCCGTCAGCGCCTATCAGAATCCGTATTCTGACAGCAGAGTTTGTAGCCCAAGTGATTTTGAGGTGCAGCCAAGCTTGGGACCGTGTCAGTATCAAACAGTGTCCCTCAAGGAGCGGACTGTTCCACAGAGAGCATCATAACTCCCAGGTGCTCCAAGTCTGAGAGCTCTAACCTGAATTCCACCTGCGTGTCTTACCTAGACCCTTTCTTCTCAGTACTGGTCTCAGGGACTACTTTGCTCATTTCAGCTCATAAGGAATACCTCTCTCTGCCTCTAGAAAAATTTTAAACACCAGCCTCAAGTCCCACCAACAAGGAGATCATTTCTTCCATCACTTGCCACAGTATAATACCTTAACCAAACAATAACAGTAACCTGCTCTTAATGAGAACAAGCACATACATTGTTCTTGCACAGAATTTATTATATCTTAACTACTCTGTCAAAAAGTCTCCCCCTGTAGGTATGAAGTTGCAGCTTTCATGCTGTTCAGGGTGCTCGCTCTGGGGGAACTTTCAGCACCGTTGTCATTTCCCACATACCAGCTCTCCAAGCCTATGAAGACAGCAGACTCTGACCCCTTAAAACATCTCTAGTCTCCACATGACTTCTCATCATACAGATGACCTGTGCTCGGGAAGAAAAATTCAGCGTCACTCCCAAGAATAATTAATTTGCCCAAAGCAAAACAAAAACACATGTTCCTTTAATGCATTCCAGGCAAACAAATGATTTTTGTTCATTGGCTGTTTGGGATTATTTGTTCTTCCCCCAACTAATATAGATAATCACTGCTTGCGTGTAATGACAAGATGGTTATCCCCTTATAACATCCAACCCCATAATTAGGGATGAAAGAGGCAGTGTCATTTTTATCAGTGTTGTACCTTCTTTTTTATCCTGTGTCTTTGGGATTTGAAAATAGTTATAAGTAAAGAGAGTGTTTGCAGGGAGAGCTTTGAGATGGAAGAAGGAGTGGAGGGCAGTAAAACTCATTTTTCACTTCCTAGGCCACGTCTGTTGGGAAATGCATCTCGTTCCATAATTCACTCAGTTTGAGTTACTCTTTACAACTTAGAGCAACAGTCAGATCTAATATGTTCAGGAACAGAATAGGAGCATCTTGCTCCCTTTACCCCTACTCTACTCTTATTGTGTGGCCAGTAAGCTGATACAGTAAACAAATTTGTTCACCCGACAGTATGAGACCGCCCTTGACTGCGAGAGCAGCAGTGGCCTGCAGCAGCTGGCCTACCACACCGTGAACCGCCGTTACCGTGAGTTCCTGAATCTGCAGACCCGTCTGGAGGAGAAATCCGATCTACGAAAGTTCATCAAAAGTCAGGAGTTACCCCAGCCCCAGAATGCCTGCTTGCTGTTCACATCGAGCCACCCTGATCTGAGAGGCTGGAGGCCTGTTGGTTTGTGGGGAGGGTGGAGGGGGAGAGTGCAGCCTCAGGGATCCTGTGCTCCCCCAGTTTGCTTTTGGGTATTTTGGGTTTTAGTGCTGGACGGTGCTAATGACATTCTTTCCGAGGTGCTTCTTTGCCACCGAATGCTTTGTTCTGGGGCCCCATCTAGTTTAAGCTTAGGAAGGAAACTTCCACAGTCCACCTGTGCCTGTGAGGTAGTGTGAGGTGTTAAATTAACTTTTCCAAATTCATAGGTCGATTGCTCTTAGATATTAAAATATCATCTAGAAATCCTTGCCAGCTTTCCTTTAACAACAGGCTTTTTGGTGTGCTGTTTGGTACTTGTGAGGCACAGGAACAATAAGAAAACATAAAATTTTACTCGAAAAATAAGCTAGTAAGCAGCTGCTTTGTTTTTTAAAAAAACTCAAACATTTTCATAAGTTTTGGCATAAATTGTGTATTTCAGTTGCACATTTTCTTTCTTAATAACAATAACTGATACCGAAAATATATGCCCAGTTCTCTACTAAGCACTTTATACTTATTAGCTCTTTTAGTTCTCATAACAGTCTATAAGATAGATACTATCATTATCCCCATTTTACAGAAAAGAAACAAAGAAAGATTAAGCAAGTTGCCTAAGGTCATTATTATAGTAGGGCTTGGAGCCAAAATTTAAACTTCCGGGCCCTTATTCATAACCACTATAGTGTTTGGCCTCTTATACCTTAATATTATCATTAATAAGGAAAGTAGGTTGTCTGTATTATATCCCTGGGGTATATTTGGAACTCCTGAAGTAAAAAAAATCCGAAGGAGGGGAGGACCCAGGGGAGGGACTCTGAAGGGATGAGCCCCAGGCCTTGGGACCCAGCCCCCTCGCCAGCCTCGGGCCGCCTCTCAGCTGCAGCCGGCAGGTGAGGGAACACAAATCCCCGCGGAAATGCATTCGACAGTTCTATTTCCTTTACCTACAGGACGCTTTTTATATGGAATGGCTCGTAGTGAATGTTAATGAATTAACTTCACGTTTTTTTTTAAGATGTGAAGGGTCCTAAGAAGCTCTTTCCGGATCTTCCATTTGGAAACATGGATAGTGACAGAGTGGAAGCCCGCAAGAGCCTCTTGGAATCATTCCTGAAGGTCAGCACCCTCTGCTCTCGTTCTAGCCACCAGGCAGACACCCAAGCCAAGGTGGAGAGAGCTGGGGACCAGAATTTCTCTTTGAAGTCCTTCTTGTGTCTCTTGCAGCAACTCTGTGCCATTCCTGAGATCGCTAACAGTGAGGAGATGCAGGAGTTCCTTGCTCTGAACACAGATGCTCGTATTGCTTTTGTCAAGAAACCGTTCGTGGTCTCCAGAATAGACAAGGTACGAGCGGGGCCGCCGTGCTCAGCCTTAGTTTCTCATCAGTGTGGAGGTGGGGGTGGGAGACGCAGCACCCAGCAGTAAGTGGAACACGCACTGGAATTTTCAAGACCTGTTGCCAATATTGGTTAGGTCGTCTACTTGCCGGACGACAGTGAACAGCTAATGAGGATACGATACCCCGCCACAGTCGGTGTACACACGTCTCCCAGGGATGTCATGGCGTTGCGATTCCAGGGGAGGGATGAAAGGGTGCTTCTGCATCTCCACAGATAGGTGGGGCAGCAAGGTCTCTCCCAGAGACGAAGGTCATTCCCAGGGTCACTCAGGAAAGAGCCCTAAGACAGGACACCGAGCTGGACTTAGGTTTGTGTAGTGATTCTCTGCTGGAGAACAGAGTGTGAGAGAACTGTACCTTCTTCAACATGGTAACTCAGAACCTTTGGAGACGGTAGGAGAAGGACATTTGAGCACCACACTGGAGCCTGTGAGCAGAAGTTGCCAACTGATTTTAGTACCTCCAGGGCAGAAGGCTGAGGTTTCTGCTTATCAAAAAATGCATATGTTTTAAGAGGTCAGAAAACACTGACTTTTGTGGCAGAAGAGGCCTCTCCCTCTTCTCATCTAGACTTCAGGGGATAAAGTGACACAGTGGAACTTCACGTGGTGGGAGTTAGGAGACATTCACTGCTGTGAGGAAAAAACTGCAAATCAGAAAGGGATAGACGAGGTAAAACCCCCAGAGTTCCCTGCAGGTGTGTTCATCCATGCTGACGTGTTCCTTCATTGATTTTTTCAACATCTGCCCCCTGCATGCGTACTTAAAGCCACGTACTGTATGCGTTGCTGATGATACAGGAGTGAACAAGACAGGTATGCACCCTCACCACAGACTCGTCCTGTGAGCCGAGAGAGCGAGTTGTATTTTCTCAGCTACGTTATCCGCATTCATGCGGTTCTCTGTGTTCTTTCCCTGGGTTGCTGTCCCCCGGTCTTTACTGTGGTCCTGCTTGACCATTTCAGCCTTGCCTCGGCTCTGCTGGCTGTGCTCGTGGAGGACTAGCAGGGAAGAAGGTCAGGCAGGTGCTGCGCTGCTCTGAGCCGGCGGTGTTCATTAATGAGCCAGAGGCACCGAAGGAGAAGTAAACGTCTCCTTCCATTTGGATATTTTAGGGTTTCATTTGTTTGTTCTTTTTTCTTTTTAGCAAATGTCTGTATGTCATTTTCCCATTCTGAGAAATAGAAATAATTCTTACTCTTCAGTGAGGATTGTTTCATTTCGTCCTTATGAGTAGAGAAGTTTATATCAATTCCAGATTCCTTAACTTTGACCTGAGTGATTTTTGTTATTCTTTCTCTAGTTAAAGAAGAGAAATTGTTCAGATTAACTGAAAAACCAGATTTTTTACTCTGTGTGAATTGCTCTGAGCATTTTTATGTCACATATGTTTCTAGAGGGTATTTCTTAATCTTTATCACTCTTTCTTTTCTCCGTATATTCCTGTCTGTATTCCTTCCACTTAGTCACATCTTGGTGAAAGTATTATCAGTTTGGAAATGAAAAATCATTCTTCTGTATGAGGACTTCCCTGGTGGGTCAGTGGTTGAGAATCCACCTGCCATTGCAGGGGACACAGGTTCCAGCCCTGGTCTGGGAAGATCCCACATGCCGGGGAGCAACTAATCCCGTGTGCCACAACTACTGAGCCTCCGCTCTAGAGCCCGCGAGCCACAACTACTGAACCCTCGTGCTGCAACTGCTGAAGTCTGCACGCCTAGAGCCCGTGCTCCGCGACAAGAGAAGCCACCACAATGAGAAGCCCGTGCACCACAACGAAGAGTAGCCCCTGCTCGCCGCAACTAGAGAAAGCCCACACGCAGCAACAAAGACCCAACGTGGCAAAAAAAAAAAAAAAATCTTCTGTATGAAAAGAAAAAAATTGAAAATGAAAAGTATTTCACCAGCCTGTAGAACTTCCAGATTATTATTTATCCCATTGTTTTGGCTTCTTTTCCCATGACATTGTTTGTCTTAACTCTGTGAGGAAGAAGATTTTTATGGCCAGAGAGAAAAGGGGAGAGAGTTTCCACTAAGTCATTAGCTAGTGTCTGTGTGGATAGATAAGGCTCTGCTAGATAGGCCAGCCATCTACTTGTCCTGGGTGCAGAAAGCACCTTTGTGGTTTCTGTCTGACCCTGCATCTCTGACTCCTGCAGGTGGTGGTGAGCGCTATCGTGGACACCTTGAAGACAGCATTTCCTCGCTCTGAGCCCCAGAGCCCCACAGAGGAGCTGAGTGAGGCCGAGACAGAAAGCAAGCCCCAGCCAGAAGGCAAGAAGGCTACCAAGTGAGAAACCATTCCCAGTTCTCAGGTTGATCCCCAGTTTTCAGCCAAAGCCCATTCCTACACTTAGGCCCTAGAAGAGAGGAGATGGGTCATACCTACCAATTTTTATACAAAACCAGACCACAGACTGAGCCTGAGATCCTGCACAGGCACACTTGCTGAATGTTTGTCTTGCCATGAGAACCCAGGGCCCCAACTGACCAGGGAATTTTGATTAGAAGGAAAATTCTGGAATATGGATATTCTCCTTTTTTATTCCCCTGGAAAATTGAGATGTTTCTTTCCCTTTAAGGATTAAGGCTTATGACTGATCTCTGTTTATCTTCGTTTCTGGAAATCTTGGCTCAGAAGTTGAGTGCACTAGCGGTAAACAGAAATGGGCTAGAGTGGACACCTACAGGGCCGATTTCAGTCCGTGGCTATTGCTGCTCCCTCCTGCACTAGGGTCCCAGGTGCTCTCTGGCAGCACTCAGAGCCGGCACGTGGAGAGGAAGGGCACCACACCTTCCTTCCTGGACACTTCGTATCTGTATCTGGGCCATTACGAAGGGAGAGAGAGAATAGGGGATGGGGGGTTGTAGAATGTGTGTGTGTGTGTGTGTGTCTGTCTGTCATGTGTCATGTTTCATGGGCCGGCAATAACACTCACAATTCTTAGCCTTTTGTTTTTACTGGTCCCATATTTGAAGGGTAACCATGGTGCCTGTGCTTATAAGAACACTGTTCCTTGAAACATTGAGGTTAGCACTTGTGGTTCTTTCGCTGGTTTTATTTGGAACACAAGGGGAATAGTGGATGTGCAAAAAGGTGTGAACAACAGGGACAGCCTTGGTCCGTGCCACTTGTCTGTTTAATCTTCAACAAATTTTTAATGAGTGCATAGTATGTGCTAGCCACTCTTCTAGCCTATGGGAATACAACCGTGACAGACTGGTCCTTATTTTACATTAGCAAAAGTCCTTTCACAAATGCAGGGTAGGCATAGCTTAGTGCAAGTGTTGCACTGTATATTAGGAATTGCAAGAGTATATAGTGTTTGGGGGCTTTCAGGGCTAGGCCTTTCTGGCCCTGAACCATAGTAAGCTCCTAAGAATAAGTATGGGTGTTCTTGTCTTGAGGTATTAATACCTGTCAGCCCTTTTGTATGGGGATCAAGCCCATGAATTACATACTGTTTCTGCTCTTCGTTTCTATACCAGGTCCAGACTGAGGTTCTCATCCAGTAAAATTGCTCCAGCACTGAATATAACTGAGGCACACGAGAAGATTCTCTATTGTCTCCGGGAGGGCAGTGTGGTAAGAAGTCCCTGGAGAATTCTTGGACTTAATAGCTGGGATGTTGAACCTGCAGTTATAGGCAGCTGAGACAGTCTCCAAAATCAGAAAGGACTTAGGTGCCTTCCTAAAGGACTTAACCAACATCTGGGTCTCTGATTTTTATTCTAGGAGTATTTTCTCAGAGTGGTTTGGAATTCCTACTAGTTCTGGGTTGGCAGGTTGGCTTCTCAAGAGTTGTGGGCTTGGAATAATGGATGAGAGAATGAGAAAGCCAGTTCCTGGAAGAAAACCCAAAGTTTTTGTGGCAAGTGAGACTACAGAGGCATGGTTTTCCTTGCAATTTAGGTTAAAAAAAAAAAAACTTAGGTGGTCACAGAGTCAGTGGGTCCTCTACTTATGACACTTGCAGGGAAGGAACAGAGGAACCACAAGTGCTGCAGTTGGCCTGATGCTTTCTGCATTCTTCATGTGACATGCCACTGGCTCTTTCTTCAGGAGTCAGAGATCCTCTCCATGTCTGGGATGGAATCCTTTATTGAAAAGCAGACAAAGTTACTAGAAACGCAGCCAGCAGAAGCCCCAGGAAAAGATTCTGAACAAATCTCCAAGGGATGTGTGGATGACTGCGTGTCAGGTGCAGCCTTGCCAGCCCAAGACCTCAGCAACAGTGATCCAGGTAAGTGACAGAGAAGGGAGCCAGGGTACAGTCCACCTGGGACCTGGGACTGTTGGGATTCATTGCTTCAGTTTCTCATCTGTTCAGCTAAGCAAGCCAGGTGTTAAACACTAATGTTTGAGGTACTCTGCTGGGATACGGAGAGGAATACGACACAGTCCCAGAGCTGAGTCGAGCAGAGGAGCGTGGCTCGTAAACAGGGAGTTCCAGCAAGATAAGATCTACGGTTATAATACCATCATTATTTATTTTTGGCGTGCTTTGGCATATCTTTGGACGACTCCCTTTATTTAGAACTTTTCTTCCCTTGATGTCTGTGGTGCCACTTCCCTGGTTCCCTTTCTGCCCCTCTTGTGGTCCTGCCTCATCCCCTTGGCTGGCTTCTCAGCCTTCCAGAGCTTTATTTTTGCCTCTCTGCTCTTACTCTCTGCATTCCTGGGCGGTCTCATCTGTTGGTTGGCTTCAGCCCTAACACATATGCTGGTGATGCCTCAGTACTGGAGGTGTATTTCCAGCTGCCTACTGGAAGCCTACACGTAGATGTACTATAGGGCAGCTGAAATACAGCATTCCCAGAATGGAATTTATCTGTTCCCCTGGATCTGTTCCTCCTGGTTTACTTACTGCTGTGGCAAATGGCACCACCAAGTTACCCACGGTAGAGCAGAGAGGAGGAGGTGAGGACACCACTCTCGCCTCATAAGCATTTGAGGCAGGGCAGGTTTACTTCCCAGCAGTGCAGATGTTTTCTACAGGGGAAAAATTGGGAGCCCTGGATATTAGTAGGTTTGCAGAACTAGAACTTTTTATAAGAAGAAAGTTTTTCAAATCCCCCAAAACAAAGGCTCCCGCTGAAAATAAAAGATCACAAAATCTTGGGTTCAGAAAAGGAAAAAGGACTGATTTCACCATTGTTTCTCAGGTGCCCACAGTCACCTGACCTCTGCTCTACGGACCTCAGCTTAACTCTGTGAAAAATGGAGTTTACAACCCCATCTCTGTTCACAGAGCTTACATCTCACTGGTTAAGTAAATGAAGTGTTACGACAGCAGAATCATCAGAGAGCTCTAAGAAATTATAAATAAGATGGGATGGGTAAAATAATATAATTCTAGCCAAAATCAAGTCTTTAAATTTTGAACGTTATATCTCTAAAGGGATAATTTATGCCTGAGCCCTTCTACCAGCCCTGAGAGACTCAACATACTCACGTGGTAGATAATTTACCACTTTTATCAAGAGGACCTGGTGCCTTGTTTGCTTTCGCTTATTTTTTACTGCTATGACTAATTGTCACCACGTGATGGCAGCTCTGGGTAAATGCTAAACCTGAGAAAATGATAGAATTGAAGAGGGTGAATAAGGAATGCTATTTTCCAAGGAACTGAATATCCCATTTTGAGCAAATGACTAGAAAGCAGACACATCAGCTCCCATGCCCCCTTGAAATACAGCACAGAAAAAAGAAAAGATATAATGGATGGGATTAAGAAGAAAGTAAGGTTCAGTTCTAGCAGATTTATCCAAATTTGAAATCATTCATGTTCTAAAGAACCCTTAAGCAAGGAATGCTGGGGCAAGCTGGTGCAGAGAATACCCTTTGGTCCTAGGCTAATAAAATGATTGTTGGTGATTAATTATAACATTAATCACAGCTGTAGCTGTGGTTATAGCTGAGGTTTATTCAGGAACAGTATGTATTCCTGGGGCAGTTTCCTGTGAAGCAAATCAGAAGTGACATGGGACCCCATGAACAGGGTTAGGGAACAGTGCTTGCATCCATAAAATACATCTATGTAAGAGAGTTCAGCTCAGCATGGGTATGAGCGTATTTGTGGTCCTTCCAGTCTTTGAAACAGGAAAGAAATGAGTAATTGTCATAGCATTTTACCAAAGGTATAGTGTTTTTCCTACAACCACGTATTATCTCAAAATGGAACTGAAGTCTGGATCCTAACCCGTCAGCTCTGTGTAATGGAGATGCTTTCAAAGCAACTTTTTTTACAGAAAAGTGAATCCCAGATCTGCTCACAACATTTCCTTGCTACTTTGTGGAGGCTGGTGGAATACAAGGATGGAAGGGAGTGGACCTTGCTGGTTCCCGTTAGGCACCAGTTGTGAGCACTTCCTTGGAACAAAATGTGTTCAGCTTCCTGGGGGAAGTACAAAAGAAACAGAAGTTGGGAGGCAAAATAATTATATGCAAAATCTTTTTAAAGATAAACAATACTTACTAAGTGACTAAGGAACATAAAAGAATTGTAAAGAAATACAGAGCCTATTACTGAACTTGGTAGAAATGAAGTAAACATCTCTTGAAAACAGATAGATTACAAAAATTTAAGACGACTGATACAAAGATGGAGAAGACCCAGTGCACTGAAATGTGTTCCTCAAGTATGGGTCTCTTCTGAGTTACTCTCGATGCCTTTTCATTCCCCAGGAACAGAGACAGAGCTGGCTGACACGGCCCTGGATCTGCTTCTCTTGCTGCTGATGGAGCAGTGGAGATGGCTGTGTACGGAGAACGTGCAGAAAGTTCTTCGTCTCATCTTTGGGACCCTGATTCAGAGGTAGGACTGCTGCACATTAGAGTCTCAGGTTGGACAGGGCTTGGATGTGATGCCCAATTCTCCACTAGAAAGGGAAAGTATAGAGTCCAGGAAACCTGTGGCCATAAGAGAAGATAAAATCTCTGTTCTAGGGGTACAGGGATGAAGAGTGCCTGGAGAGTATCACCTTGTTGTCTAAAGTGTGAATGGGTCTGCTTCTGTAAGACTTCTGGCATCATCCACTGAATGACAGGCACTACCTGTGATCTCAGATACTTCAGCTGAACTCTTCCTCCTCTAGGATCAGTTCTCCACCCAGCTTTACCCCCGGGCCCTATACCTTTCACCTTGTTACAGTGGCTGTGTCTCTTAACTAACAGTGTATAGTCACTGTGACGATAAGCAACAAGAAAGACAAGGAGAAAACTGGTCAGTGCTCAAAATAAAGATTATTTTCTCCGGGAGGGGTGTACATATTCACTACTGAAGAAGCACTTACTGACACAGGATGGTAAGGAATAGAAAGATACTTAGATTTAAAACTTAGATTTTATAATTCAGGCTTTGTGATCCTAACACCACTTGAATCTCCTGAAAGATTTGAACATAGATGGAGTTTTTAGCTACTGACTTCCTAACCATGAAACTGATGCAAGCTTTGCTGAACTGAAGGCCAGAGACACTGTCTCTGAACCAGACAGACACAGTAGTGCTTGAGCTTTGGCCACTGTTGCATGAGACATCCTGGCAGATCCCAGAGTAAGAAGAAGCCAAATCCTGAACTCTTCTGTTAGCATGTGGCTCATGCTAATAGGCCGCTCAAAAAATAAAAATAAAAACTTAAGAATTATGTATCTATCCTGCAACAAGTAGGAAAGCCATTAACAGCAAGCAGTGAAATTGCCCCTTCCACACTTAAAGTTACACAGGATCAGGGGGTCTCAATAAGGTTTCATCGTTAGGAAACTAAGTGAAAGAAGAGGATGCACGTTTATATTTGCTGAGTGTGTATCATTTCCAGCACCTGACCTCTGTTGGCATATATTTTCTTACAGCAGCCAAGTGAGGTAGGTAGCCCCATTTCACAGAATAAGAAAGTAGAGCTTGGCAAGGTCGGGCAACATACCCAAGGTCATAGTTAATGACACAGTGGAATTTGAAACTGGATGTGCACAACTCCAAAGCCAATGTGCTTCTTCCTATGTATCGCAGCCTGAAGACCGGTCTCCGTGTGAAGCCCACGTATAAAATGCTGACTGGTCTCTATGCCTCGCTTTCACCCTTGTCCCTCCTCCATACTCAGCTCTGCCTCAAGGCTGCTTTTTCTGAAAAGCAAATATGAACATATATCCTGCACTTAATATCCATCAGGGTGCTCTGTTGCCTACAAGAGTGATTTTCCCAACATGCTTTCCAGAGTTCTAGGGTTCCACAGAGGCGCTTCAGAAGCCAACTTGGAAGCCACGGGGAAAACCGAGTGGACCATTTTGATCAGTTAAATAGACTGGGGGTCTAGATAAGGTTTTGTTTGAAAAAGGGCTCCACTGTGTTTAAAATATATATTCATTTATTATAGTAAAATTCCAACTCCTTTCTTACGTGATCTGGTCCCAGCCTCACTTCCAGTTCTCCCCATGCACACCATCCACCGTGGCCTCAGTACTCTGTGGATGCTCTTCCTTCAGGCCTCTCTTCATCCTCTTGTCTCTGCCTGATTGTCTTCTCTACTCGTTCTTTTCGGGCTCTCTCCCTGTGTCCTAAACTTCCCGTCTTCTTGGCCTACTGCTAAATATTTTTTAAAAATCAACATTCAGTGTCATTTATTCTGTGAAACTTTTTATGGCATCCTCTCCCATTTTTCCCTGGATCTAAGGAGTCTTCTTCTCTAGTCAAAGTTTTGATAATAATACTTAACACAGTATATTAGAGAAATGGTCTACTTTCCCAAAACTAGTGATCCACCCAGCGTATCAGTTTTCCCCCACGGTATTTGGTGGTATCTGGAAATATTTTTGGTTGTCACAACTGGGAAGGGAGGCAGGATGTGGCTAGAGGTCAGGGATGCTGCTAAACATCCTGCACACAAGAGAGCACACTCTCCGCCCCAAGCAACAACGGATTATCCTACCCTGAAGAGGATGTATCTACACCCTCAGTAGTGCAGAGGTTGAGAAACCTTGCCCTAGACCAGTGGTTCTTTAAGGGCCAGAACTGGCTTATGTCCCCAGCAGCTTCCACAGGGCCTGGGACATAGAAGATGCTCATTAAATATTGGACAAAAGAATAAATATTTCCCTTCTCAATACCTTTATACTGGAAAGTAGAGTCTTCGTATGTTTTGTTCAGTCACGTGTGAATGTTGCTGATTGAGGCTTCATTTCTCTTCCTTTGTTAGGCTTATCTTTGCTCACCTTCCCCCAGAATGGGAACATCCTAAACGAGCTAGTGTGTCGTCGTTGACTCCCCACCTCCTGAAGTCATTTACATGATAAATTGGTTTCAGAACACAAGAAATTACTCAGTAGTAACAGAAAAGTACAGATGAATCTGGAGAAATTCAAAAAGGATTGAGATTCATATATAAAAAAGGTAGGAAGGTTACCTGAAGTTTGAATGACTCAGAATATTAAAGAGCTTGGGCCAGAAAGGAGAGAGAAGTGTATTTGGGGAATTATAGGAAGGTCATTGAAGAAATGGTATTTTATGTAGCTAGGGAGCTTTAATACAAGAATTAAATCCGGGGGAATTGCAGGCTGTGAGAATTCCAGGCCGGGCTGCATTACCTCAGTGGGCGATGATCATAAATTGCCTCGTGATAGGGAGGAGACAGTAAGGTGGAGGGTGGGGTGTGAAGTAAATAGACGGTGCTCTCTGGTGTAAGCACTGACTTGACCCGACCGTAGACATGGGTGAGCCTGCATTGTGGCAAACATCCCACTTTACCTTAAAATACTCCTCTCTCTCTCCAGCTGGGTGATTGTTCTGGTCTTATTCCTTTATTCACTGAAAAAATATTAAGAGCTGGTCAGTATAAGACATGATGCCTACTTTTACATATTTTACGGTTTAGCAGGGGTGAGAACTGAGGACCTTATCCGTGATCACAAAATGAATGCTTGGTGAGGGTAGAAATCAAACCCAGGTATTCCAGAGCCCAAGTTCTTATCCACTTTAGTATACTACGACTCTGCTGTCTTTAATCTCTCTGGGCTTCGGAATAGTAATGATGTCTATCAGTAGGTATCTAGGTGCATAGAACATGTCCAGTAAATGTTAGCTCTTCATATTTGCGCTTCAGGAAAAGGAAAGAAGGGTAAAGAGTGCATTCTGTTTCTGATTCCTCCAGCTAGTGGCCCCGAATTCTCTCCCCTGTTCAGGATGCCCCACCCAGATCAGTCTCCTGCTGCAGCATCCCTGCTCCTACTGCGCCTGTCTCTGCGATTGCACACGGCCCCTGTTCTAAGCAGCACCGCGTGTGAGGCCTGTCAAGGCGACTTTATACCAATGGACTCACTTGCAAAGGCGACAACCAGAGCATCCCCGCGTCTGACAGTAGGCGGCAGACCACTGGTCTCCCTGCAGCACAGACAAGCACAGGTTCTCTACAGGGTGCGGCACTGTTCTCCAGGTTTACTGGTGCTGCTGGAATCAAGTCGCACCTTTCCTCACGAGAAGGACTTGGAGTCAGGCTAAGTTCCTCCCGTTTCCGTCCCCATACCCTGACAGTTCCACTGGAACCACACCTGGTTAGCTGGGTAGATGGCTGTCTGGTGAATGTAGCTCATGCCATAAACAAAATCAGGGAGAGGGCTTGTGGCTGAATTTCCCTTGACTTTCTTCTCTTTTCACTTTTTTTTTTAAATTGGGCGGCATCTTTTTTTGTTGTTAAAGGGAGAAAATTCTGAATGTTCATAGTGAATTTGAATGAAGCCAAAATGAATACTGTGCAAGAGCAGAATTTTGTGGCTAGTTACTTTTGGAAAACTCTGTAACTGTGGTCTGTTAACCTCTGTTCATCCTAGGTATTTCCAAGTGATGATGTTTTGTACTTGTTGACTTGCCCCATATTTCTTCCTGTCAGAAAGTTCTTATAGCTAATAAAACTTTATTCTTAAGTCCATTTTGTTTTGTATGAGCTGCAACAGAAATAGGAACACAGCTGTTGACACCCTCCTTGCCCTGAGCGTCTACAAACTAGAGTTAAATGAAGAGTCTCACTCCTCCATGTTCAAGGCCTTTCACCTTTCTCTATAAATCATTACTCCCAGCTTTTTTAATGATATACTTGGCCCTCTTCTCAACTCTCTTGTGCTGGGTTCGTATTGTTCTTGAAGCTTCCTTAAGATAGCAGTCAAGAAGTCATGGACATCGGAGAAGGAATCCCAGTGCCCCCCCTCCAGAGGCTCCGAGGATCTGATGCCTGTGGCCCATGGTCTACACCAGCAAGTTCCATGTGCATGGTACACACGGAAAAGCCAGGGCTTAGTTCAGGGTTCAGAGTGTAGACATTAGTAGTCTTATCAGCTGCAGGATTTACCGTGCAGCAAGCTTTTGTTGAGCGTTTACTTTGTGCAGACACTGTGCTGAGCACTACAAGCATATCACTGCATGCCCTCAAAAGCCACGTGAAAGACCCATTGTGATCCCATCTCAGAGACGCGCAGGCTCACAAAGAACTGTGCTTGCTCACTCAAGATCACAGAGCTAATCAGTATACGACAGGCACAGTCTGAACCCAGGTTTGTCTGATGTTCAGCTATAGTGACTGTCTCTCAGGATCAGATGTTTGCCCTATGATTATGAAGGATAAAAGCCAGCCCCAAAATCTTTGACTCAAAGCAGTATACATTCCCCAAGAGGAGACTGCCAGTCAGTTTGTAAAACAAAAACTGCATTTCCACATACGCCCACTCACATATAACACAGAGGACTCTGCAGCACCCTAAAGCCAGCCCATGTTGCTTGTCCCCTGGACAGCTTGCATTTTTATTTTTAAAAAGAGGTTCATGCAGTGAACATTC